TCAAAAGTTACTGGTTATTGGTGGGTATGGTTCTTTATCAATTGCTACACGGTATCATCCTCAATTTAAATATGATATGTTTACAATGCCTGGTGTTAATGATCGTCTTAGAACTAATGAACAGAATATCTACAACCTGTCCAGTGGTAAATGACTCATTGTATTGTATAGAATTTTTAATAGTTATTTTGAGGCTGGAATTAAATTACATGTAGTTTGACATAGTCAATAGCTATTAGATAACAATGTGTTTACCATCCATACGTGCAACATAATAAGAACATGCAGTTACTGATAATTATTTTTAGGACAATGGATTGTTCCATTTGTCAGTGGACAGTGTTTTCCACCAAGTAGTCACTTTATAGTTGAAAGGATCAATCATAATAAAGGAATTATGTATGGAGGAGCAGTAACTAATGCTGATGAAGATATCTCTACTAATAGTATCTACTTGTTCCAATTATCAAATAATACAATAGTAAGTTATACTATCAGTATAATAAAGCCATTAACAATAAGAATGATACATTTTATCAAGAGTGGATAATATCACCTGGCTTGATTTTATGAATAATATATTTCTAGAACTGGGAGAATCTTAAACCAGGATCAATACCTAATGATGGACTGTGGCCTAAAGGAAGAGAATTTCATGCCAGTACTATTATCAATGGTATCTCTACCTCACCTACACTAGTAGTGATTGGTGGAGTGGATATTAGGAATCAACCAGTGAATGAATGTTTATTATTAAACACAAACCAGTACAATTGGATGAAGGTATACATTATTATAGTCATCATACCAGCATATTGCTTAGTCTCACCCGGCCCCTTCGTTATCTGTGTAACTAAAAATTTTTCAAGCACCTGTTGTTTAGGGTGTGCATGGCTTTAAAATGATGATTTTGCTTCCTAGTTTTTGTTGAGCAGTGCTCCTAAATGCCAACCCTACAACTCAGTACTTACATCAGACCATCCTATACTGGTACCAATGTCACTCTGTAAACTGTATACTTTATTTCTTATTTTCTACAGATTCCTCTACCTGATTCAGTTACTGGTAGACACCATCACACTGTATCATCTTTTGTTGTTGATCCTAATCATGTGTTCCTAATAATGGTGGGAGGTGTTGTCAAGACTGAACAGGAAGATGTAGGAGCAGGAGTAATGAATTGGGTTAATGAACCTGTCACTGATCCAAATATCACAATGGTAGTAGAATTAGGTAAGGTTATAATTAGTTAAAATTTTGCATGCTTGTGCTAATTCACACCTACAAAATATATTGGCAAATGTGGTGCAATAAATTAATTATCATAGATAATTAATAATACCACTGTTGAAAATTATAATTAGAACAATACATTTTCCTGAATCCAAAAGTATGATTTGTCATTCTTTTTGTCTTTTATCTCCCTCACTCTCAGTGACACAATCACTAACTTGTTTTATTCCTCCTTTTTACCTCAGTTTTTAATGATGGCCAATGGTCAGTGGGTTCAGTATTAGATTCATTCAATATTCCTTTATTGTATGAACTAATACTAAAAGAAAGAAGAAAGGGATTAATTGGAATGAATGAATACATGACAGATAAAGAGAAGGAACTTCAAGTTATCAATGAGTCTTTGTGTCATGATCTACAAGTGGCTATAACTAACAACCAATCACTTCAAGAAACTCTACTAGCACTGGAATCAGGTATACATGTACTGTATTACAATTACTGTATACAAGATTTTGTTGTCATGTAAAAATTCCTTTGTATTATGAAATTATAGTTATTGTGTAATTTTTTTGTTTGTCAATTAATTACTTATATCCTTTATTATTGAGTATTGCTCATTAATTAGGCACAATTTCAATAAAATCATTACCAGCTTGAATGAATTTTTGGAATTTTTGTTAGTGCCCATTTTTATGCCATTTTGAGTACCACGTCATTTACTTTCATTATTTTTTATTTATTTTGTACTCTACTATTTCAAATGAAGAAAAGTGGATGCTTGAAACACAACTACTAGAAACAAAGACTCTTCTTACTAAACGAAAGAGAGACCAAGAGGACTCACCACACTCAGGTAATATGAATTATAAATAACCAATTTACCCATATATGTAATGCCCATATATTATATAGCTGGTGATTTTGAGGGTTGAATTTGCTTATTTTGGTGATTGATGTGTTTTAGTTAATTCAGCAAAATTATGGCCATGTGCCATTGTGCATATACACACAATAGTTCAAAATTGCAGGCTTTGTTTTGGTGAATGGCAATCAAATGCCAAAAATATTTACTAGAATTTCATTAAAAGCTAAACAGTAAGCAGTACATTGATTGATTTTAACGTCAATGAATATTTTTTCTGTTAAGAGTAAAATTTAATTTTCTGCAGATAATGCTAAGAAGCTTAAAACTGAATCAGTGGAGGAGAAACAAACAATGACTGATGGTTAGTATATCATCAGTACATAATATTAGATAAGTCTATTAAATTAGAAAAAAATGAGAAACTTAGAGCTACAGTTGCTTATAATGAAGTATATTTAACTGAAATAGAAGAAGAGAAGAAACAAGTAAAGGAACAATATCTAAGTTAGAGTATTATCATCAATATGTGTATATGTAATGAGAGAATATTTAGATCTTAAAACTAAAGTTGCTGATAATGAGAGGTATACTGCCAAACTAA